ATCTTATAGTTGGAATAATCTAATATGAGATCTCAGGTTTTTATAGAAGAGATCTAGTAGGAAAACAATAAATAGGGTGTTCTTGGAATTATATCTCTTGTTCTCTAGTGAAACTGAATTGCTTATTGTTAGAAGTACTTTGTTGCTCTATAGAAGTTATAGTTTACATGTGTGTGTTCTGTGAATGCTCCCAGAATTCATGGAACTTTCTACTGTTAATGCTTTCAATTTTCAATTAGTTCTATTCACATGAGCTGTCGAGCACATACTTACTAGTAATCTCTAGAAAATCATTTCCAAGTCCTTCCCATGTTAATTATAGCAATTTAAGGAATTTATTGGATGGAATTAATTTTCTAAAACAATTGAATCCACTGATCCTTTTAATCTCTTTGTGTCCTTACATTAGTTAATACTTATTGTAATAGGTATTTTCTCTCAATCAATGTTTTAAAATATAGAGGTGTGACGCGAGACATTCCACTACTTAGAGGTATGAGGCATAGCTCAGAACACAAGAGTCGTAAGCCTCCCAATACGCTTCCTTAAGAGGAGGGGGTTAGAAGAAAGGAGGAAGGGGGCTTTGACCGTTTTGCTGCTAGAAGTTCTTTTTGTTGCTTTATAAAAGTCATAGTTTATATGCGTGTGTTATGTGAATCCTCTACCCAGTTCCTTTCTTGCCCTTAGGCTGAATGATATCTTTTGAATCGCCGCCACTTTCCGTTGTTCTCTTGGGCTGCATTACAAGAAATATGACCTTTAGTTATAGACAAAACCGCTATAACTACAGTTTAGCTACGGACAGACAACCATAGCTTACGTTCGCGTGGTTATAGCCTATGGTTACGGTTCAACTAATCCGTGGCTATAACCCATCTATAACTACGGTATCTATCCATAGCTAAAGGGCGAAGGCAAACCGTATGAACCTTTAACCACAAGCTGAACCGTAGCTAAAAGATGCATATAGCTATGGTTTTTAAATTGTCCATAGTTATATATCCAAATCTATAACCACGGATTTTATAAAACCGTAACTATAATTCTTCTATTTATAGCTACTATTTGCTACAAAATTGTAGCTAAATGTACCAACCTATAACCACGGTATTTTTGCTAAAACCAAAGTTAAATACTCTAACCTATAACTAAGGTCTTTTGACAAACCATGGCTATAAGATGAAATATATGCCCATAATTTCTTGTTAAACCATAGGTAATTGTTTCAATCTATAAAAAAACTTGTAACTATATTCCAAATAAAATAGTAAAATAATGACAATTAGGACTGCCACCTTAAAGCAACACCTATTTTATTCATATACCACAAAAAGATTATATAATAACTTCTAGCAAATACTTATATTATTGTAATAATTCAATACATGTTCATCCATTGTTTTACCAAAAAAACACATCCATTGTTTAGAATGTATTACAAATGTCAAAATTCCCTCAATACATATTAAAGTCTACATGGAATTATCCATTGTCTTCAACTATGCTGCAAGAGTCACTCGTTGCACCTTTAACCTACAAAGAAAAATAACAAAAAAAAAATTAGAACAATGATTATTTTGATGATCTAATTAAATATACAATATACAATGAAAAATGTGAAAAAAGATAGGTAACAAAATCCACTAGTTTAATGGTAGGTGGTTGCCAACCCAGTACTATGAAAACATAAGAGGTTTGAGGCAGAGACTTATGTCCTTTCAGAGGATGAAGGTAGCCATCATAAAACCTTCTTTTCAAATTACAGACCTCAGTTTTACATGAGAACTGCAGATGTAATTGGAAAGGTGGAATTAGGGGTATAAATGGTATTCGAAAATCTGAATTCGTATTCGAGATTGGATATAATCAAATCGAATTCGGATCATTCTAATGTTATTAACGGTCGAATTCGAATAAGACTTGATTCAATTCAATAAATATTCGATTTGATTATATAGATTATAACTATATAAATTATAATTATAATAAATGATGACTAATTATATTTATATTAAATATACATATTATTTTATTATTTTATTAAAATACATTGAATGATGGCTTTTGAAAAGCTTTTTTTAATATTATTTTAATAGCAAAAATTGAATAAAGACAAACTATTTTAGAGGCTATGATGACTTTTCGAATAAGAGGCATGTCTCATTAATTATCTCTCATTTTTTACTATTATTTTAATCCGTTTTTATGCTGATTTCTCAATAAGATGCATGTCTCATTAATTATCTCCCACCTGTTAGTATCATTTTAACATTTCTTATGATGATTTCTTGAATAAGAAGCATGCCTCATTAATTCTCTCATTTTTTAAATATTATTTTAATATTGGCACTTGTCTCATTTTTCTTTTTCTTCGATTCAAACCTGTGTTTCTTCTCCACCTTTTATGGCTTGTTTAAGCTTTACAAGTTTAAACCTTTTTTATTCCTTATTTTTTAATCTCTCTCTCTATGCATTTTGTAGAACTGAATATGGAGATCAACAATCTCTCCATTGTAGAATACACCAATAGCGATATCTCTCTATGCTTGTTGCAGAACACGCCAACATAGCAATACCAGATCGATGGCTATTATTCAAAAACTTTTTTTTATTTGTATTTTCTTTTTGTTTCTTGGAAGTTGGATCAATAGAGAATGAGAAAAAATTTTGAACTGGGTTTCTTCATATTCGTCTAGTGAAGTTGGGATAGATTGACATTAAAACATTTTCGAATTCAAATCGAAATCGAATATTCGATTATATAAACGAATTCGAATTCGATTTAGTGTTTTCAAAAACCATCGAATATCGAATGGAATTCGAATATTTATATTTTTAATTGGTTTCAAATTCGAATCAAGCCTGATTCGATTCAAATTCACTCTGTTTACACCACTAGGTGGAATTGCCTAAAAATGTTAAGATGGTGATGCAAGGAGATAATGTGACCGCAGTTTTTGAGCTGATATCTTCTGTTCCACTTGAAGCAGGTAGAATTTGACTCGTAGCTTCCACCCTCTGGAACTACACAAACTTCTGAAGTCTCATGAAATGGCTAGATAAAGCTTACGTATCTTGTAAACATGACATAACTTATTTTTTTAAGACAATAATATTAGTATATTCTATTTTCATTTGTTCATGTTATGAGAATCATGCCTGCATTATGCTTTCGTGATTTTATATTTTTTAGTCTAAATTCATATTGATAAGGTTATATGAGCTGTTTACAAGAATTATTATTGGTAAGCTGTTGCTTCAAATAAATGTTACTAGGACAGATTTTCCATATTTGCAACAAGGACAATGCAGAAATGTATAACCATGTTGCATGTTGTGCCATTGTAGAAAGGTGCTAATACTGTAATACATACAAATTAATGTTGTTTGATACCAATTCGATTGATTCAGTTTATGATGGATTCATATTCAAAATTTTAAAATAATGTTAAAAGTCAAATTTTGACTGCCTTAGTCTACTCAGATTTTTAAATTTTAATACAAATTTAGAGAAATGGATATGGTTTACAAATTTGGGTCCCTTGAGTTTCTGTGGATAGTTAAATGACTGGACTAGCCAGCCTAATATAAACATCATGCCACTTTATGCAATATATGCAGTAGGTCCACGTCCAGCCCACCCCTCGCAAGACTCCAGATAGCTGGGACAAAGATTCTCTGATGGAGGGAGGTAGGACAGTCAGTGCAGGTGTAGTTTCAAAAGTTAATTATCAGCTGAGATGTTTAACTAAAAACTAAAGTTAAACAAACGATTAATTAAATCACCAACAAAGAGAGAGAGAGAGAGAGTAACCAACAATATGAAGAAAGAAATAAGGGAAAATCAAGTGCTGGAGGGTGGTTTTTCATCTGCTAAGGATGGAGGTGTTCCTACTTTTTTCAAGATGTTGCAATGCTTAGAACTTCTACCCACTAATCTTCTATTAAGTGACACCGATTGATGCATAAGCATGAAATTTGTGAAAACAGAGTTAATATCTTATCCATTACGTGTCTACAGCATTAAAGGGGCCCTCCTTTTCTTGCTTTCTTTGTTCTCTTTTTTCCTTTTCTTAATCACCATCAGTGGGCCTTCTTAAGTAGACCTCCTTAGACCAAGTACTGTGTAACGGTTAATGGTTGGCATCTCCTAATTGTGATTTTTCTTTCTTTATTTTGAAAAAGCTGAAGATGGGCCCATTGCCCATAGAGAAACAGTCCGGACTGATCATAAGCTGCAGTTGTTTGATCACAACTTTCACTGGACTAACTTATATTTTAGTACATGAAGCCTTCTAGAGAAATCAATCTCTTGTTTCTTCCCTTCATTATGTGGGGTGGAGAAGAAGGAAGGTGGTCACCAAACAAGAATTCAATATCAGATTGAGACCACTATGCTTATTTTATTATTTATGATTGCAAGTTAATAAGGTGAGCTTTTAGCAGGAAAAGATAAAGGAAGGTGGGGATGTTATTTTCATTAAACAAGATTTTTAGAGATATTTTTAAGCACCCATCTGTAACTTCCCAGGAAACCCATGAACTTGAAATCCTAGTAAAATGCTTTTGTTGTTCTTGATTTTAAAATATTTAACATCAGGCAAAAATAGCATGATGTTTTCGAATATGTATTTATCAAAATTCTCTCTCTTGCCCCAATATGTCATGAGCCAAAAGCATTCATATAGTTGACATTTATTGTAAGCATTTTTGGAGTAGTTTCTTATTTTCATGTTTTAGAAGTGAAGTTTTAACATAACCCTTTGGCAAAACTTTTACCTGTACATTGAATGAATAATGTCCATCATCAATATGAAGGATCTGTAACTACATGAAATTCTGTGTCGTGCAAGCTGGTCATTCCAGCAGAAAAATATATCCTATTTATTGAATAGCATTAATAAATTAAACAAACAAATGATCAAAAGATGACTTGGTATTATCATGAACAAAATATATTGAAAATGAATTGTATGAAACTTGAACCAATGATGCTAATTAAAACAAAACATTCAAACCAACTTTACTAGTAGGCATAATATTGATTTTAAAAGCTAACTCTAAATGGGTCCTCGACTGATAATCTGATGAAGATTCAATGGAAGCACAAGGAGCAGTTTTGTTCCCTTTAAGAATCTTGTTTCAAGTTGCAGTACAAACAAAAAATTGCTATCATGGATGGAACTGCAACACCCCAAACTTTGTTGTAATGGAATACCCTTCCTGTTAGTACAGCTGGATGATTGTAGAAGGGCCTAACCATAAAAGAACCTGAATATTCCCATGTCCAGACTCTTTATTAGCTCTATTTATGTCCATCAGAACATTATGCAGCTTCTGCAATAGCTCAATCATAATGGAGATTTCTCAAATCTCAGTCATTCAAATCTCTACAAAACTAAGAGCTCTAAATGAAGCTTTCATTGAATGATTTGATGCAATCTGCTATGTAAGGTTTGCAATCACACCGGTAAGCAATCAAACAGAGGTGGGAAAGCTGCCAATAAAAGGTCTGCAATCACACCAGCAATCCTTCCAAAATTTGAACTTTTGGTCATTTCCTACCTGAAATCTTAGACTTACACCATGTCTGAAGTTAAGAAGTTTCTTAATCCCTCTCCACGCTAAGCCAATGTTTTAAAAGTGCAAGGGGCATTTCGCACCCAAAGCACAAGGTGAGACACAACACATCATCCAAACATTGCATGAGATGGGGGGAGATTTTTTGTAACTTCGCTTTATACATCCACTTGTTGTACAGGGGCTCTATTTGCTTTTGACTGAAATTCTATACTTTGCCTTCTCTAAAAAAATCCAAAAATCCAGATTACCCCAAAATTATATTGATATGACATCAATAAAAAAAATTGGACCCTATAGCTCCACTATATTAGACACACAAAAGCAAAAGAGACAGAAAAATAGTCAAGGAAGCAGTTCCAGATAGAAGAACCCCAACTAAACACAACACAAATATTTTTTTCTTTCTTAACTGCTGTTTGGATGTAGTTTATTGCCTAGGGTTGGTTGAGACCTTGGTCTCCGACCCAAACTTGTTCTTCCGTAATAACCCTAACAATCTCATATGGTTTAAGTTACAGATCATATTTATCATGAACTAAAATTCCTTTTTCCATCAATTCGTCAAAATCACTGCTAGAAAATTAGTATTCAATGGTAATTAGGACGGAAAAGCATTTGTGTTCCATACTGTTTGCAATGGCAATTAGGACGGTAATTAGCAGATAAACTCTTGGCCATTTTGCGTTTCATACTGTTTTCAAGCTTGCTTGTCCAAATCTATACTTAGGATGGAAAAAGCATTTGTGTGCCCAAATCACAACACGGCTATAAAATTGAAAGGAACAAACATTAACCTGGGTGAAAAATAACCTAAGACGGAAAATCTCCAATTGATTGGGAGAGATTACCTTCTCTGAGAAATCTCAGGGGTAAGCCAATGAAGTTGCACCTTTGTCCTTTGACACCCGAACCAGCTCTTGTGTCTAGAAAAAATAAAAAAATAAATCTTTTCTTCATCATAAATCAGAGAATATGCTACAGTTTTTCGGTGATAGAGAGAGAGAGAGAGAGTGAGAGAAAGGGAGGAAGTCTTACTTGAAACTACTGCTTGTTGGTTACCTAAATCATGATCAATGGATTGTTGATGGGTTGCTAGCTATAGCACCTTAGCATAATGGAGGACTATGTGGGCAGCAAAAAGAGAAGAAGAGGGTTTTGCGAGAGGTAGCAAACAAATAAGAATCAAGGAACAAAGAGTACTCCAAAGGGTTTCGAGGCAATGCAGGGCTTTAACTTGCAGGTTGGTGGAAGAGTGTTTAGAGTAGAACAGGGCAATGTAGGGCTTTAACCGGTAGGCCTGTAAGGTTGATTGATAGAGAGGAAAGAGTTCCAAACCGAAAGTTAATAGAAAGAAGGGTAAGTTTCTTAAACTATCCTTATGGTTTAGCTAATTGACTGAGTGTATCCTTACTGTTTGAAAATTGACTAACACTACCCTTACTGTTTCTAACAATTGACTAATTCTTCCCTTACTGTTAAGGTCCGTTACTATTCCGTCAAAACCCTGTTTAAAATTCTTTTAAAACCCAATATTACCCCTACCTCGTCCCAAATTCATTTTCGAGAGAATGGAAAAAACACTATTCATCGTCTCTTTCAACTCTATGCACAGCGGCAGCAGTCCAGCATCGACCCTCTCCACCTCCGGCCAGGTCTCTTCCCCGATCTCTCTCTCCTCTTCCCCATTTTCCATCTCCAAACTCCCTTGTAATAACATCTAGCCTAATACCCAGAAAAAACAGAGCTAAACCACCCCAGTTTGACCACCACCACAGAAACACAAAAGGCCAACAACCACTTCTATTAAAACAAGCACAAACGGTGAGAACACCATCTTGGCTAACCTCTGACTGGTCTCTAGATATATTGGCTTCCTACATTGCCGGAGACCAGAAATGGTAAGGGAGGGAGGAAAGAAAGGACCAAAAGGTTAGGTTTTGTGTCAGAAACAAAGTTTTCAACAAAGCATTAAAATCCTTTCTTCGTTCAAGGCAGTGAAGGAGAGAGACAGAGGCCTATCTGCATTCTGATTTCTTCCTATGCTTTCCTTTCATTTAGAAAAGATTGAGACAACGGGAACCCTTGGTGGGTTTCATAGAGCAGAGAGGAGAGGAGAGGATGTTGGAGGACAAAGCTCTAATTGGCACAAACTGGGATCAATCAATCTAGAGAGATTGAATGATCTTAGATTGATGGAAACGACTCTCCTAGTCCGGTTTTCGCAGGCGATTACCCACCTCACCAAACTTTGCTTTGGATCGTTAATGGAGGATCTAAACCTGAGAAGCGAACCTCTGTCTTCAACTCAGGCCCAACACAGAAGCTTGTCTGAAAACATGAGCATTGGAGATTCAATGATTCAAGATAGAATAAGTTGAAGCACGATTTGGGGATGAATTTCTTCAGCTACTGCTACAAAGTTGAAGTCCGAAGCACAAGAAAACCCAGAAAGCTTCCATCTTATCTCCGAAACCTGCCTGCTCGTGTTCGTTGACATTCACCATCGGTGGAGAAGTAGGTGACGGAGAAAAACATAGTAAAAAAGATGTCGTTGGGTTATTCAGCATGAGCCTTCGATGAGGAACAAATTGTTGTTATTGTTGTTGTATAGGTACAGTACAAGTCAGAATTGTTGTTGACTAGAAAAATCTCTTTGAGAACCTCCGCACTGATCTACAGAACCCTAGTCTAAGAGGGGTACCGCTGGTTCGCACCCCTTCCCTCATTTATTTTTGCATTTTGGATCATTTTGGATTGTTTTTGCATTTTGGATCATTTTGGATTGTTTTTGCATTTTGGACCATTGTGTAGCTGCTGAAATCATTGAGTTCAGTGTTTCTTTCCCTTTTTCTTTGTTTTATTCTGAAAATTTGAAGAAAAGTAAAAGGGTAAAATAGTTTTTTTTGTCTTTATGTTATCAGACATTAATGGTAAGGGAAGAGTTAGTCAATTGTCAGAAACAGTAAAGATGGTGTTAGTCAATTTTCAAACAGTAAGGGTACACTTAGTCAATTAGCTAAACCATAAGGGTAGTTTAAGAAATTTACCCTAGAAAGAAAGAAAGAGCAAAAGAGGAATATAAATTGATTTAGCAGGTGGGAAGAAACTAGGGCCTGAAGCCTTTCCATCGTCATAGAGGAAGGGACGAAGCTGTCCGGTTCCCACCCTTGGGAAGTAGAAGCCAGATTCCTAGAGGCTTCTCGAGCCTCCATAGACTGACCCTCAGGGAGCCCCCAAGCTCCCCCTGAGTTCGAGGGGACTTCATCCTGGTTACCATCCTGGGGAAAGACACTGTTGTGTGGGTACCCAGACATTGTTGATGGAACAGAGGACTCACCAGGAAAAAATTGAACCGGAAGGACAGTGTGAACAGGAGAGAGCTCGAGCAAACTAGGCAAGGGCGCAACCTCAAATCCGAAAGCAAGGCAAGTTGTCATGAAAGAAATGAGGCCTGGGGCCCTCCTATTTATAGCCACAGTGCCCGAAAGCCAACAGCTCAGATTAAGGCGAATCCGACGGCTCACGATCAATCTGGCTGCACATCTTCCAGGACTGAAGTAATGTCGGCTGCACGTCTTCCGAAACTGAAGGGAGCTTGGCGTGCTTTCTGGCGCCCGAAAAATCCAGAAATCGCCTGACATCCGCGCGTGTATTTGATGTAGTCAGTCAACCCAATTTGAATTACGGGTCAAATCTACCTGTCACTTCATGAACTCCCCGCACTAGAGCAAGACCCTTAGCCCGAGGAGTGGGGGCAATTGATGGAGGGTGATTTGACCCGACCTCCTGAGCAGGCGACATGTAGACATGACTCGACATAAGTGACAGCGCAACGTGACAAACTGACTACTTGGTGCAACGAGCTCAATGAAGCCCTCGTGGGTCAGCTCGCTACATGACAGCTCGCTACGGAACAAGCTCGCTACAGCGCGAGCTCGAGTATGCCAGTATGCTGAAAGGGAACACTCCAAGCTAAGTTTATCCCAACTCGCGAGCCAGGACAATCAGCTCACTCCAATCCTTAGGCAAGAGGGACGTCTCAAAGACCTCAGGCGGAATCACCTCGAGACGCCTCCAGTAGCTCGCTACAAGGCAGCTCGCTATGGGATAGTTCGCTACAAGGCAGCTCACTACTAAGCGACGCGGCGTTTTCAGGAAGCTTCTTATCTGACAAGACCGTACCTGCCAGACTGCACCCACGTCTCCTGACTGACAGCGCAGTCTCTACCAGCCCAGCGAATGCGCCCACGTCTCTCGATAGGCGGCGGCGTGTCTGTCCTTTCCGAGTTGCGTCTCTCATCTGATTGGATAGTACCCTGCAACGGTTACCTACGCAACCCTGGCAAATAACGGCTGCAACAGAGGGCCAGAGGCGGTTACGCCCGATTTGACAGGACATCAATATTAAAAGGCCCCGATTTCCAAGGGGTAGATGTAACTGATCTTGCACTATCTGCACTCTTAGCTCTCTCTGCATTTTCTACAGCTCTCTCAGAGTTCTAACTTAAGCATCGGAGTGTTCCCACCGGGTGATCTCCCCGGGAATCCTTCATTTTCTTCTCTTTCTCAGGTGTTGTCCGTTGCTAGATAGGAGCGAAGCCCCTGCCAGCTAGGAGTGACCAGATCGCGCTACATCAGGGTTTATTTCGAGGTTTATTCCGGTTCATGGGGTAGACATGCCTTAAACCAACCCCTTCTGAAATGTATTTGAAAAAACTAAAAAAACAGGAGAAATGAGCCTCAATACAAGGGGC